TTCCTTCCATTGGTTTTTATTCTGTAAGTTTTATTTTCGTTAAATCCCTTTGACGATGTGATGTTAGTTTTCTTTCCTTTAAAACCTTTTTGACGATGTGATGTTATTGTTCTTTCCGTCAAATCTCTTTGACGATGTGATGTTAGTTTTATTTCTGCCAAATCCCTTTGACGATATGATGTTAGTGTTCTTTCTATGAAATCCCTTTGACAATGTGATGTTAGTTTTCTTTCCGTCAAATCTCTTTGACGATGTGATGTTCAGTTTTGTTTCCGCCAAATCCCTATGACAAAGTGATGTCAGTTTTGTTCAGTTTTCTTTCCGTCAAATCCCTTTGACAAAGTTATGTCTGTTTTATTAAGTTTTCTTTCCGTCAAATCCATTTAACGATGTGATGTTAGTTTTCTTTCTGTCAAATCCCTTTGACGATGTGTTTCTTCCGTTCAATTTTCTTGCTGTCAAATCCCTTTGATGATGTGATGTTAGTTTTTATTCTAGAAAATCTCTTTGACAAGATTAATTCTTTCCTTCGAATCCTTTGATAAGGTGTTTCTTCGGTATAGTTTTTACGAGGTAAGTTTTCTTTCTGTAAAATACTTTGACGATGTGTCTCCCTAGTGGGGTTTTCCTTCCAAACATCTAGCATTTGCCCCTGCAGATTGGTCTACCTAAGGCTTTTCCTTCCCCAACGGAGTCTTTTTCTATTTACTTCGGGTCGTAATTCCTTTGATTCTACTTCCTGTGATTCTGTTTAAGTTCCAACTTTTAGCTGGTATCTTTGACGTGAGTCCGCCTTCGGTCGGCGTTCTTTTTTAAATTCCAACTTTTGGTTGGTATTTTTTGATGTGAGTCCGCCTTCAGCCGACGTTCTTTTTTAAAGTCCAAGTTTTGGTTGGTATCCTTTGATGTGAGTCCACATGTGGTCAGCGTTCTTTTTAAAGTCCAACTTTTGGTTGGTATCCTTTGATGTGAGTCCGCCTGTGGTCGATGTTCTTTTTAAAGTCCAACTTTTTGTTGACATATTTTGCTTTGAGTCCGCCTTCAGTCGACGTTCTTTTTAAAGTTCAACTTTTGGTTGATATCCTTTATTGTGAGTTCGCCTTCGGCCGACAAATCCTCTTTCTAAGTTCACCTTCGGTTGACATCCTATCTGTCGCAACTGCGAAAAATACATACCGAAAAAAACTAAAGAGTCGCCACCAAACATTATTCATCTCTACGAAGGGAAAGGAAATGATTGAAGAAAACCTCAAATAAGGGAGAAGACATGGTCATCGTAACCAAATCTGAGGTTCAGGAGTCGATTACGCGAGAGGAAGGTATTAGCACCCCCTCGCGTCCGTTGTACTTAACGGGATCCACGCTTATTGTCTAATCAAATGGTGTGTTATCTAAAGCCTACTTCTAAACGGAAACGAGAACGAAAATGGAAAAACAAAAAAAGAGACTTGATAGGACTTCGCCGTCCTAGGCCTACGTACTCCTTCGTGCAATGGGAAAGTCAGAGTCAACGTAGTTCGGAAAACTACAGGTAAAAGAGGGAAGGTTGGTCTCCAAGACATCACTATCTTGTGCTTACGTATCCTCATCTGGTATAAAAAATTAGAGCAGCCGTAGTTTGGTTCACCACGGGTTGCTTAGTGTTTTTTATGAGCGATGTTAAGTTCCCACTCCAGCAGTTAGGATCGATGCATGTTTGCGGTAGAACGATAAAATAACGTACTCTTTCTGAAAAATGAGTTAACAAACAATCCCAAAGGATAAAAATGATTTGATTTTGTTTAGGAGTTTTAGAGAAGTGAATTAATTTGGCTTGAGATTCACATTGCACTAAAGTCTATGATATAGGAGCGAATGTGTCGCATGATTGCCCCTAAACGAGATGTATGCTAAACACTCTAGACGAAGCAAGGAGAGACCTCTCACTCATCATTTCCCATATACTTAAGGCTCGTGATGCACAATGTTCATCGCATTTATTACGTGTTTTGATGTTGTTTCGAGACAGAAGAAGAGAGACACACAGAAGGTCTAAGGGGAAACTTGGTCCTAATGTTGTCATGTAAAATGACCCTAAGGTCGGGAGGCGAAAGGAAATTCTATCCTAATGTTAGCATGCAAAATATGTACCTAAGGTTGAGGTTAAAAGGGACTAACCTAATGTTATCATGCATGGATTAAACTCCTAATGTCTATCCTACTTCGAGCTTAATCAAAAATTAAGTTGGACTAGAAGGCCTTAAGGGAGCTTGCAACAACAAGCCAAAACATAGAAAACAAAACAAAAGCAGCAGCTACAACAAAGCTTCAGCTTCAAAACAACTATGAAAATCCAGCAAGTAGCACAACAACATTTAACAGCTCATGTTTCAGCACATAACATGTGTAAAAAGGTAGTAGGCAGAATAAGTGCACATTTAATAACATGTGAAAATCCAGAAAAGCAGGTGTAAAAGGCCAAACAACAAGCATACGTTAATCATGAAGCAACACATAAAGAAAGCAATGATCATAGATGAAAATGTATAACAAGATAAACTAAGCATCAAGATTGCAAACAACCAAGATTAAGCGTCAATTAACATATGATCAAGTCATCCAAGAACAACAACTGATTATGTATCCATAATTCAACAAAGGCATATGACATCATGCAGATCGATCATGAACATGCATCAAGAAAAGTCAAATGATGAATATGTGTTAACAATTAAGCACAAGCAAATACGATTTGACAACATATCATTCACCAAGAATATCATGCATATCCAACACCAATTAATCACTCAAACACAACATGCATCTGCGAGATCGGAAACGAACATAGTAATATATTCAGCAAGATGAACATCAATAATCAACAATCAACATGATACAAGTGCTTGTGCAACATGATTATCGCATCAAGAGCGCAACATAACGATCAAAGATATTCAAAAAAGAAAAACAAAAGTCCCACGTCGAAGAAATTAAAGCTTGCTATCAAGAAGGGTGAAATAGATCAAAACAGTTCACATATATGCATCATATCAATCCATGAAGATTAGAAGTGGAAAGGAATCAAAACAATCTTGAAAATGCACAAAAATCACATTCTGCATCAGTGTTAATCGATTAACCATTTGCAATACAAAAGTGGTTAATCGATTAACCCTCTTTGAAATGCCAAAAATTCTGAAATTAACACTGGTTAATCGATTGCATTAAGATGTTGCAATTAATGTTGCAATGGATTCCTTTAAGATGTTTCAATACATTAATGCGTTGTTATTTCTCATTGCATAATCCCACATCATTTTGTCCATGAATAATATTGGTTTTTATATAACCCACATATACTTAATGCATTATCATACCATTTTAAGTTATTAAGAATATTAAAAAGTTTTCAAATGTTGAATTTTGAAATAAACAAATATTTATATTAAATATGTAATGGTTCAACATTGATGTATTTTAAAAACTTGTTAGACATTTGTTTTTATATAATAATATAAATTAAAATATATAAATATATATGTTGTGTAGGTATGAGGCGAGGTGGGTACTAAAGTGCCTATACTCGCACCCATTCATGTTTATTTAAGTGGGTATTACCCAAGCCCGTGCCCATTTTTGCAGGTTTTTATCTAGTCCGTTGTGGATATTTTTGTGGGTACCCACCAGAGATGATTCAAATTTTCATCCATAATTGCGTTTATTGTTACTAGGAACGAACGAACAATAATTCCATTGTAAACTCTTTCATAAAAGATCACAAGTAATGAATGTTCACAGTTTTCTTATTCTTCTACATCCTAAGGAAACTGTAGATATATACATCCACTTGAACAAGTAAATGAATCATTGAATGCTAAGCGATTCTGAACTTCAAACGACTTTATATATTACATGCTTAAGCCTAATTCTGTGCAGATTCAAAGGTATATTAATGTGCATGGGCATCTGTTAGCAACGAGGACCCCTAAGACATAATGATTAGTTATATAACACTAATGATTAATTAAAGTATCACATTAAGATTTCCATACACCTTTTCATTGTCTTGGAAACCTAATATTGAATTATTAGTTTTCCCCTCTCGATATGCGACGTTGATTTGGGAGAACTCCATGGTGGATATTCTTTTTCCTTTAGAAGATCTCCATTAATCACATAAACGACAAAGATCAAAGATTATATTAAATTATAAGATTCTAAGATAGTTTTGGAAATGAAGTCAGAAATTACTCTTTCCATCTCACCGTGATTGTTACAATGGTTGAGGTTTCAATCATAAGAGATCTGATTGTGGATATTCACATGAATCAAAAGTCGATTCTTACAAACGACACCACTATTTTGATAGAGAATCATAATTATCGATGGATTGATGATGTAGACTTTTGATGAAGTGGTTCATATCTTAGGTGCGATGGTGTGGAGAGTGAGCCCAAAAGGTTAACACTTCAACACCTAAGTTAATGGATAAAAAAAAGGGTAGAGTGGTTGTGTGTAGGAGGCACGACTAATGGCCGACCCATAACATAAACTATTGAGAATTGGATAAATTATAATTGTATATTTTTTTTATCAATGTGAAATTGTGATGGTTCAGTAAAAAAAAATCAAATTCTAATGGTTAAAGAACATTTTCCTTAACAAAATGTAGAAGTAGGAGACAAAGTGGGGGTGTTGAAAATAACTAAACACGTGCCGGCCCATTATCACGTATTTGAAACGGATCCATTGGACTAAGTCTCTCTCATCGAAGATAGACCGGGTTGGGTCCATTTTCATTGGCCATTTCGAAAATAGTTCGTATATATTGCACACACTCCAGTTCTATAAACCCTAGATTCAGCTTCGTCCTCCGCCTCCGTCGCGCAGGTCTGTCACAGTGTCCCTTCTACTTTGCTAAGTCCTCTGTTTCGTTCATTTTAATCAACAATTTCACTTATATTTTTGTATTCCATGAATCAGGGTTTTTACCAGGTAGAGTTTCTTTCCCCTCTGCATCAATGGCTCCTCCAAAAGGTAACTTCATGTTCATCTTTTTGTCTTTTTAATTTTCCGTATTGAATTTCAGGTTTATGTGCATGTTTCATCGATTAATTTTTGAAGTTGAAACTAGTTTTATTGCTTAATTTTAACCGATTATATTGTAGTATGCGTTCTTATGTTGAGTATTTATCACCGGAAATTACGTGGAGTTCATCCAGTTTCATGTTTGATTCGATTTTTGTGAATTTGTTATTGATTATTAGGCTTGCCGTATGCTTATATAAGCAAATACTTATTGAAATTTTTGAAAATTTTAGTAGTTGGGACCTGCTTGGATAAAATGCTTATTTGAGCGCTAGGGTATGATTTGAAAAATGTTTTAATGTAAAAGCTATCCTGAATATTTTATGGGACTAAGCTGAAAGTGGATTCCGATCATTCTATCAGCGGTTGACACAACATATCTCAAATAATCTTTCAAGTGCTTATGCTTGCGGTTATTAAGGCCCTTAGTGTTACATCATAAGCTGTTTTTTAATGTACTTTTGCCTATGGCTCGTGAAACTTTAAGTTAGGCTATTGTTGTATGACAAATACTGACTATCCTAAATGCCCTTTTTGTTCAATATATTGTAATCAATTAAAGCTTGTAATTTGGTAGAAGGTTCTATTGGGTGAATTATAGTTGGATTGTCATTTGAACGACTTGATGTGTTTATTATAGATATTAAGGCAATCGAAGCAGGCCCTTAATGTATATAATAAGCTGTTTTTAAATACACTTTTTTCTATGACTCTGAAACTTTAACTTGAGCAATTGTTGCATGATAAATACCGACTATTCAAAATGCTCCTTTTGTTCAATATATTGGAATCTCAACTCAAGTAAAGCATTTAGGTAGAAGATTCTAGTGCGTAAATTATAGTTGCATCTGGCGGTTTTATGACTTGATGTATTTTTTGTGCAGGTGAGAAGAAGACTGATCCAAAGGCACAGGCCTTGAAAGCTGCTAAGGCAGTCAAGTCAGGCTCTGCTATTAAGAAGAAGGCGAAGAAGATCCGAACAACTGTCACTTTCCATCGCCCTAAGACCCAAACTAAGGATAGAAACCCCAAATACCCTCGCATTAGTGCCACCCCAAGGAATAAACTTGATCACTACCAGATCTTGAAGTTCCCACTCACCACTGAATCAGCAATGAAGAAAATTGAGGATAACAACACTTTGGTTTTCATTGTTGACTTGCGTGCTGATAAGAAAAAGATAAAGGATGCAGTTAAGAAAATGTATGACATCCAGGCAAAGAAGGTTAATACCTTGATCAGGTGAGCGCGTATGCAGTGATTATTAATTGCAAATATATAGTCTTGACAACTAATTATTGCTAATGACAGGTTTACAATTGTTTTTACTAATTTGATATGATATAGCGCTATTCTTTTTAGCTTTTTGTTATGGTGACACATGGCAGTCTAAGATAATCTGTAGTCCTGTTTCTTTTTGTTAGGGAGTTTATGTAGTTTAGAGCTAAAATTATGTAGATTACGTAAATGTACTATCTGTACAGTTTATATAACTGAAAATATATGTATGAGATTTCATTTGCAATTTCTTAACTTGAATACTTAATCTGTTGCAGGCCTGATGGGACCAAGAAGGCCTATGTAAGGTTGACTCCTGATTACGATGCACTCGATGTAGCAAACAAGATTGGGATTATCTAAGTTAGTGTCTGGTTTTGCTCGGGTTCTATTTAGATTTTTTTGACAGTTCTTTGTTGAATTTTGAAGGGAACTTTTGAAAAACAGTCTAGTTCTATATTTTGTGTTCTGTTGCTTGCTATATTTTATTTCATTTTACTACACTTATTGAACCTTGTTTCAATTTTGACTTGAGTATTATTAATGACTGGTATAAGTTCTCAAATTTTTAGTATTCAAGCAACTATTAGAATGTAAGCTGGTTGTTCTGTTTTGCTTGACAAAGGCATGGTTTTAAATTGTGGACAACATCACTTGATGTGGCTGCAATATTGCGGTTGCTGTAGTGTTTGCATATGCATGAGGCTGCAATATTGTGGTTATCGTAGTGTCTGCATGAGGCTGCAATATTGTGGTTATAGTAGTGTCTGCATGAGGCTGCAATTGCGGTGATTGAAAATCACAATGAAAACCACATTATAACGCCGTTACAGCCGCATAATAACGCTATAATGACCGCATTTGTCTGCATTAAACCGTATCAGCCTCTAACATTAAAAGACATGTGAAACCTGATACGAATAATATAATAAAGTGTATTATATAATAAGGTATATTATTTTATGTTGATAAAAAATAAATTCAAGCTGCAATCCGCAATAGCTGCAGCTGTAATTTAAAACCATGTGAAGTGCTGTCGTTTGGTATATAAAAGTTTGGGCCTAAGAAATTTAGGCCCCCACATTGAACATGAAATACCCAAAACTACTTCAATTAGAATAGAGGACAAACTCACGTTAAAACTTATGTTGTTACTTAGCAGAATTATTACAAGAGCTTGGGTATTTGTCAACCATCTATATCCTGCCCTCTTTCATTCTTACGAACACAAATGATTAGTAAAATAACCTATTCTAGGTTTCTTCTCCTATGATGTATCTTTATATTAGGTTGTCTACGTGGTACGGGATCCAGGGAGGATGATTTCCTGTTTTCTGTCCCGTCCCTTAAATTTTTCTCCATTTTTGATTTCCGTTACAAAGAAATATTTTTCTCCATCTTCACGGTATCTACAGAAATTTATAAATTTCAAATCGATCAAAATTGTGATATTATCATGTTTTTTTTTAAATATATATTTTACTTATTTATTATTTAAAAAAAAAATTGCATCAATAACAAAAAAATATAAAAGCAGGTGTTAGTTATTTTTCTTGCTATCATGCATAATATCATAATTTGTAGAAAAATAGCAAATTGAAATTGTCAAATATCCAAAATAAAACACTAATAAATATTCACAATGAACAATGATTATATCGGATTAGAAAAAGATATGCAGCCAACAACATGTCGTGACAGAGTAAAAAGAAGAGAATTGAATACCCGACCCTCTAGTGAAAAAAAATATTTATAATGTGTCCCAAGCGCTGGGCTAACGATTACTTTGCAGTAGGTTGGATTGTAAGGTTTAAAACGAGTAACTGTCAGGGTTTACGTGACGTAAGGAAGACCAACACGTGGTCTTCGCCCAAACCAGCACGTGGTCTTCGCCTTGAATCAACTGCCCCGTGATCATCGGCAGGTGGGTAGTTGCCTGATAACGTGTTCCTGCGTGGTGGCACGTGGAGACAGTGGGAGAGACGTGTGAGAGTCCCCTGTGGACGCTGAAGGATTGAGCCTTCATTATATCCTCCCCGACGGAGAGCTGGGTTGGATCGTGCCCGACGGTGGATCAGCCTGTAACTCAGTCCAAAACAAATAGCAAAATAGAATTGGATGAGAATTCAAAATATCACAGCAATCACCCAACTAAAGTCATAACTAAGGGTGTCAACGAGTCAGAGAATGTGCGGAGGATGCTTCCTCATTCCCTGCCCTGTCCCCCAATTTTTTTCCAACTTTTTCCCATTGTTCACTTTTCTAAAATTATTAAATAAAATTTCTACTAATGAGTAATGACTCTATTTCTCAACTAATATAATAATTTTTTTATAAAAAAATGTACAGTTACATAGTTATTATATTTTATATAATATTATAAATATGGTCGGATTCAAGAAATCCACTGAGCGGAGAGTACTTCTCCGATCTCCGCTCCGAAATTTCATTAGAAGAATTTTTACTTCCATTTTTATTTTTGCAGAGAAAAAACTCTAACTTTGACATTCTAAATAAATAATTCTCATAAATTCTCATTAAAATATGCGAATTTACATTCCTATTTCATAGGTTTCCTTCACAACAGAAAAATATATTATTTGTCATTTAGATTCAAATTCGACTAACTTATAAGCTGCCATAGAATGCTGAAAATAACTTAGAATATACACATAAATATAATATAAACAACATGGCCCGCAACATAATAATTATAACAAATTGTGATAATAAGTGAACTGTTTTGGGGATAATATTAAGTATCTATTGCATTCATTGTCTTATGAATATCAAAGGTTTAAAAATTGAGATTATATTGTCGAGTAATTACATCACAATTAAAATAATCAAAAATTTCGATTGACAAATTAATCAAAGATAGTAATACAATTCGGTAAACTTTTATGAGTATACTGTAAAATTCGGTATTTATGTTTTTCAATAGTTTAAGTTTTGTTTTACCTCACCTAAATTGAAGAGTATCATATATATATATATATATATATATATATATATATATATATATATATATATATATATATATATATATATATATATATATATATATATATATATATATATATATATATATATATATATATATATATATATATATATATATATATATATATATATATATATATATATATATATATATATATATATATATATATATATATATATATATATATATATATATATATATATATATATATATATATATATATATATATATATATATATATATATATATATATATATATATATATATATATATATATATATATACCTCTGAGCAGGAACAACAAGTTCTATAACATAGGTTCTGAAATTTTTAAAAATTTAAAACTTTTTTACATAAATATTAATAAATATAAAAAAATATTATCAAAAAATCAAATAAATTTAAAAAATATTATGATAAAAACCCAATACATTAAAAAAAATACATTTATTAAAGTCAAATTTTTTTTTAATATATAATCATATTTTTGATGTGGCATTCTTAATGATTATAATTGTATTTTTTTTAAAAAAATTTTGGTCTAATTTTAAATTAAATGGACCTCCAGCTTAATATATATATATATATATTAGATATTGTGTTTGGTTAAATCCAATCCAGGCCTCCGTACACCCAACCATAACAATATATAAAAAATTTCAATAAAAGAAATATTTGTTTATGATCATTATCAATAGAATTATGTTGAGTTGATCTTGATTTTGTATAAACTTCCTTGTTTTAATACAAAACTTATGATTAAATTGTCTGACTTGTTAGCTGTCAAAACTTTGTTTTAATAAAAAAATATTATGTTTGATTTAAATATGCCATGGACGTATAAAGAACATATCCAACACTATAATGAATAAATGACTATACAAATTATGATCAATGATGGCTGTAGTTGATTCACTCTAAATCATATAGGAAAATTTTATCACAAAATTAAATATAATAAAAAAATTATATTGACAAGATAATCAAATGATAAATACTTTTCAAATAATACCAAAAAATATTACTAAAAATGTTTAATCAAAAGGAGGGTGTCAATCCACAAATTCTAAATTGAATCTCTAATAAGTATTATCACTTCGTTTACAAACATTAAAAAAAAAATATAATGGTTGAAATTCTTAAAAAGGAATGTGAAGAAAAATAACAATTATTGATACTTTTGACGCTTCTTCAAATCCACTTGACTTTTAAAATTAGAGTTAAGATCTTGAGATTGTGTATTTATCCAAGTAGGAAGTTGTCCTTGGTGTAGAACAGTTTGAAGCAAAGGACCAGCATCATACATAGCTTGTAAAAGCTTACCCTTTTGAGGCAAAACTCTTTGTTTAGCAATATAATCTATATACTTACTTCCATAATCATCATCACAATTTGAATTATTAAAGTTTTGATTATGATAATGATTGATATGATTCACACCGGTGTTTGAAAACTCAGGTGAAGAAGATGATGAAGAAGAATGAAGAAACCCTAAAGAGTTTTGTTGTTGAAATTCAATCGGACTACGATTGCTCATTAGTTTTTGTAGCATATTTCTAGCTTCATCCCTTTCTTCACAAGCTTTTATGAACATATCATAAAGTTTGACATTCATATTTTTCATTAATTCAAGTTCGAGCGTGATGTCTACCAACTTTTGTTTTTGTTGATCTTCCGACTGATAATTCAAATAAAAGAAATCTTAAAATAATTCAAAAACATATTACAAATAAAAAATACTAATCCTAAAACAAATTAAAAGATAAAAGAAATCACAATTCAAAAAATAATTCGTTAAAACATAAAAAAAATAAATTATTAATAATAAGTAAGAACATACCTCTTGGTAAATAAAAGTAGAATTATGGTCTTCCATAATTTCCACTTCTTCTATTTGAGAGTGAATGACTAAAGATTGAAATTTAGAGTATTGATTTAAAATAGGAAGAAATACCTTTTATTTATATAATAACATTGAAAGATTTGGATTTATAATATTTTAGTAGGTGGTTTGAAATTAAATTTAAGATTTAGTATATATATATGTTCAATCAAATCACACCAAAATATATTTTATATTCTATAATAAATGACACGCTATCAATTTTTTATATTTAATATTCTTTTCCTTTCTAATTACTACTATATAGTTAAAATTACGAGGGACCCGTTCAATTTCATATCTTTAGGTTTTTATAATAGTAATGATTAATATATTAATATAAAATAAAAGTAAATTAGTGGAATTACGATTCTCTCTATTTTATTTATATATTATTTGAATAATTTGTATGCAGGATAAAATAAACTAGACATTAAGGGATAAAAGAGTATCTTTTTATTATAACTGTTTTTAATA